ATATATTAACAAAATAAAAGAAGGAAAATATTGATCATCAATTTTTAAGAGCTAAATTTATTCTAACATGTCAAAGAAATCTGGACTGACATAGCAATAGCTAAGAGGTCTTGAAATTTTTATGCAAATGAAGAAAACAATAAAGCCTACTAACCGAATTAATGACAAAAACACATTTAGTCTGAATTATCAGCTATATGAAAATGTCCTAGTCAAATGATTCATCTTATATCCTCTTGTTAAGATGATTGATCTTACAAAAATATTCCAGCCAGATAATTCATTTTATAAAAATATCCTAGCTAGATGATTCATCTATATATGCTAAATTATTTTAGTGAAAGAATAATTAACATAATCTGTTCTTTGCAAATTGTTTGTTCACAAAAATCAAAAGGATTTATTTTGTCACTTACTTGAGTGATTTCGAGTGATAGATCGTGCCTGTCGCATATAATGTGACAAAGTCTGATCCTTTGATCGTTTTATTGGTTTAATTTTTGAATCATAGGTACGTAACGTTACAGGTACACCACACATGTAGGAGAAATCACGTGGTGTTGATGATCCAAATACAAACTTCTTCTTTTCATTACTTTCCATTCCTTTTCTATGGCCATCAGCCATTCTTGTTCAAATTCCACTTTTACTCGTTGTGATATTTATGATTCCTGATTTCGACAAAATTGATGAACAATTTGTTGACACTTCGGACAACTTAAAAAACAAAAATTTGAAAAGCCTATTTTCATTCATCACCTACAAATACAAATATGAATGTAAAATTGGTTTCAAAAGATATTCTCTTAACTAAAAATATATATTTAGGCTAATCAATTTAGCATAAGTTAGCCTAGAATGAAATTAATCGATACTTTTTCATCGAAAAATAAAATGAAATAAAACTTTTTCTAACTCATATGAAATGTGTTTTCTATTTCCCTCTCTCTCTCTCTCTCTCTCTCTCTCTTCTCTCTCTCTTTCACCCTTATTGGATGTTATCAGGAGAGTGAAATGAAATAAAGTGATAATTTTTCATACAAATTTAATAATGAAAACCTATTAAAGACAATATAAAAAGAAAGCGATATGCAAAAGTGGACTATACATGGCACTATTGGAAAGCTATTCTTAAAAATGAGGATAAGGCCAAGTGCCTGAGAGCATTCTTGGCCAAGCTATGAGGTATCATTGAAAAGCATAACGTTATGAATTTATTCTGTCTATCCTTTTCCTCTATTCTTTCTCTTCTTACTCTTTTTCACTATAACTACAACTACTAATCGACATAGCCTAGTGAAATTTCATATCCAACAAGGCTTTATTTTTTTCCTTTTCTCGAAACAATTTCTTCTCTCTACTATGATTGCAAAATTGCTTCCAAAGGGAGAGAGAGAGAGAGAGAGAGAGAGGGAGAGAGAGAGAAATTGCTTTCAATTTTTTTCTTTATTACTTTGTGAGGAAAATTTTTGCCAATAAAATTGACAGCAAGCAAAAAAGAAGATTGAGAAAATATTTCATCTATAAATTTTTTTTAAGATCAAGAAGTAATCATCAACAATCTTATCAGTTTATCATAGTAATGATAAGTTGAAATATTCAAATCATTCATTACTTACTCTTTATTAACTGATCTAAACTGATTCTTCATCATCCTTTCTCTTCGATTCATATTTTACTAAGCAATCCACAAATCAAATATCTGCTATGTTAAAAACATATAAATTAGAATCTAATCATCCTTCATTTAAAATTTGAAATTTCAATTATTAAAATATAGTTATATATATATGTATACAAATGTTGTATGCAAATGTTTCCTAAATATAGAACTTGGGAGTATTAAAATGGTAATAAAACGGATCACAGTAATAATATATCTTTAAATTTCTATATGAATAATTTAGGATTGTAAAAGGAACGAAATCTTTCCGCTAAATTTTACAATATTGAATGATAAAGAATGATTAATTTTGCAAACAGAAAGTTACTGAAACGAATATACTGATTAGAATAATTCAAATTTATTTTATGTTTACTATCATTTCAGATTTAGATTTAGAATTCTAAAATAAGGTATGATTTAAATTAACAAAAATTAATTAGAATAATAATTATATATGATTTGATGGAAATATTTAATTTTATATTCTTAAAAATACTTCGTATATAACAAACAGATGGATAAATATAGCAAATTAAATAAATGAAATAGAGAGATTTAATGTTTCAATTTTTTATCATCTCAAAAAATACTTTTTAATTTTCTCTAACTTTATAATGAATATGTAATATAAGCATTCAGTATGGTACTTTTTAGTGCATTTGTTCTGAAATGATTTGTTGTATTGTGAATAAATGGAAGAAGATGGTATTCTTCAAGATCATGATAAAAATAATTATGATTGTGACAAACGATTGATAAAAACTTTCTGCAGGAGTTGTCGATTTCCCAACATTGATTTCCCAACAAGTCGTTTCCTAACACTGCATTTTCTCTGCTTTCATTTAAATTTTAGTCCAAAAAATAACACACAAAATTTGATATTTAAAGAATTTTATAGCGCAAATATTTTATGGACAATACCTGTCAGATAATTTAATTCAATGAAAAGTTCTAAAAGCTGACTAATTTGAGGTTAACAATATCTCATCTTTCTACTATCTAAAGTTAGAAAATCGTTAAACAAAAAGGATTATATGAATAATTTAAAAAACGGAAGGATCCAAATAATTCTCAACCCAAATGAACTTTTCACTATATAATTATTATCAAATTAACCTCAGTGGTCCGAAGCGTTTTCATGTTATGAACATTAACAAACGTGAAACACCTGCATTTTCTATGAAGAACCGAACTTCTCCAGACTGAGAGGATTAACAAGATCCTGTTGTAGAGATTTACGCAAATTCTGTCAAGAAGCTCATTACATAGTCACTTTAAGAATGAAATACGGAAAGTGATTATATGAGCAACCTTTTTTAAAACAATATTCTTCGGATAGATGAGCATAACGCTCAGATTGCACATGCCTCTTCAAATAGCTGCCCGTAACTGTTGCATTCCTAAGATACTTTTAATTTTTGTCATTAAATGACAATAATTTGAGAAAACATTTATTTCAAAAAAGCTAATAAACTGGATAGAGTAAACAAGAATCACTTCGTCTTTTACTATCTAAGAAATGACTGCTTATTTTTTCTACGACATAATTTGATTTAAAATATAACAATTTCCACACAAGAACTACTATAAAAAAGTGAAAATTTAGTCTCTTTGAAATATCATCACCGCCGAATATAAATTTGGTGTTGAAAAAATTTCACTTGAGATAAATACAGAACAAAGCAAACCCAGTCACAGTTCACCATGAGAAAATAATTTACAATTCAAGATAAAATTGTGGATTCAATACTTGAAGAGATATAGCAAAATCAGTTCTAAAGATGAGCAGAACAGATCATTAAAATGAATGAAAATCCAGCGAAATAGGTGATGCAGGAGATGAGTTGGCACAAGCAACTACAAACTGACTACATAGTGATAAGACTTGCGATATAAATTTTAGAGGTTTGCAACGATCAAATTAGACTGGCAATACTGTGAACTCTTTAAAATCTATTTAAATACAAAACTAATACAATATGATAAAATGGAAATGTGAGAAATTAACGATAATACCTATATAATTCACATTACTTTATTCTCAACAAAGACCTTATATTTTTAATAGCTAAACGGAAAATTATAAATTTACAAAGACAGTATTTTTTTAAACAAAAGTAACAATACCGAAAGCGCTTTAGATTATAAAGCGAAAAATACGATCGTTATAATTTCTTACGATGTTCCCAAGATTAGAGCCACAATCATGCCATACAAACCCAGTACCTAGAAGAATTAGAAGAGTGAAAATTTAAGATAGCAATCTAACAACAGACCTAACAAATTAATCTTGAAGCGCATAAAACTAAGATCAACTCAATTTTTATTTATCAATTTTCTTATACGTACAACTGAGAGATTTCTATCTTTATCCAGTTAAATAAACTCATTTCATTTAAAATTTTATGGTCATGAAAAAAATGACCCAATAAAAAAGTAAGGACAGTCGAAACCAACATATCAACAAAGAGAATACCTACCTCAGAAAAGATCAGAATGAGGATCATGCCAACGAAGAGCCGTGGTTGTTGAGCGGTTCCTCTGACTCCTGCATCACCCACAATACCTATGGCATAACCAGCACCAAGGCCACACAGACCACATGTAAGACCGGCAGCCAAATGAGAAAATCCTTTATCTAAAGTATAACCTTCTGAAGCTTTCGTTATTTTGCCTTTCATCACCATTGTCACCTGCAATATGAATGAAATATACAACTGATACATTCTTTTGAAAATAATACCAATAATTTACTGAAATTAAAAAAAATCAATTCATGCCTTTTTTGCTGAATATTATGTATTCAAATATCCCTAAATTCTGTAACTAGTTATAATAGTGACCTAAAGGATCAGAAACAATTTTCCAGTACATAAAATAAAATACCTCTCCAAATTCTCTTGAAATTGCTTCACTAATCGAGAGATACAGAATCCAGAAAGTACGTGAATTTAAATACATAAAAATAAATCTAAAAAACTTCATACAAACCTCACTGTCGCAATTTTACACAGGAAAAATAAATAATTAAATATGACAACTTATTTTATTCCATATATAAAACTTACGACTAGACCGTAGATAGCAATAATACCAGCCATAACGACCGGAATGACGGACTTCATGATCAATTCGGGACGCATTACACCCATACTCGAAATACCCACAGCTGATTTAGCAGTACCATAGGCCGCGCCAAGCACGGTGAATATCTGTGCCGATGCTGCTCCCATATACCCAAAGAAGGGTGAATAAGCTGGACTTTCTGCTGCTATTAAATCGTATGACATTTTTTTAAGTTTCCTGTTTATTTATCGGAAAAAATCTGAAATATAAAATCTTCCTTGCTACGAAAATGTTTCTTTTCATCACTAATAATTAGTATCGCACAGTAAATCTGGCCTTGCAACTTTTACACATAACTGCACAAAAAAAACTCCGTGATGAAATACAAGAGAATAGATATCTACAGAAACGGCTTAAAATGTGGCGCTGATGAATGACCTAACACACTATTTACAATGGAATATAATGCCTACAAAACATGCACAAATGTGAATACTTATAACCAAATTATCACTGTCAATTTGATATGTATTTTTATCGAATAAAATAAAAATCTTTTGATTCCTCTATAGCAGGAAGCTTGTTACGTATCGAATTGAAAGCAGAAAATCGATGATATACAACTCTTTTCAGCAAGATAATTTAAATTTCGCTAAAATATTCGAGAGAGAACAAAGAAAGAAAGATAATATGCCTTCAATTGGCTAACTAAAAATAAAGCAATCCATGAGGTCTCAATATATCCAACCCAAGAGACAATGGAAATTGCAAATGGTGCGAAATCTCATCTCAATGATGACAATTGAAGAGAAATGACCTCTCATTGAATACTTCTTTTCACTAACGGAGAAACTGAAACTGAGTCATCTGTTAAAAAAGTCAGCACGTCAGAGAT